GATCCCTTCAATGGGTAAGAGTATATGTACATGTATCATAATTATTTTGTTTATTAATAAATAAATTAGATTGCCAGGTAGCAGAGAAGAAGCTGTTCTTAATTCAAGGAGACAAACCTCAACTGATGAATTGGGAGAAATATGGTCTAAGGATTGGAGTACAAGAAGGAAGCCTATTGTCCTCTGAGACAGTAGAAGTAGCAGTGGTTGCTCTTGTAGGAGGACAGTTCGAGTTTCCTCCTAATACTGTCCTAGTGAGTGCTGTGTATGCAGTATCACTCTCAAAGCCTCTCCTCAAACGACTCAAGTTAGAGATACAGCACTGCGTTGATTTAACAGGACAACCAGCTCTTAGTCATCATCTCAAGTTTGCTATAGCTCCCGTGAGCACACCCAGTCTTCCTTACCAGTTTGCAATAGTTGAGGGAGGAGAGTTTAGCTCTAATAGTGGGTATGGATCCATTGAGCGTAAAGAGTTCTGTTTGCTGTGCATACTGGCTCGCATTTTAGGAGATGATGGAGGAGGAGGAGGAGGAGGTCAGCAGCAACCTCAAGGACAGAGAGCAGGTGTAGTACCAGCTCAAGCATGCATATTAAAATAATCAATTTTATGTATATACCTTTACTGTTTATAGGGATAGGTTATACTGATGTTAAAAAAAATATGAAATATGCTGGACTAATTTATTATGAGGAGGAACAAGTAGAAGATTTAGTGACATTCACTGCAGCTAAAGAATTGGAGGTACTTATTCAAGTAAGAAAGCATTAGACACTAGATAATGTGTTCAATTGTGTTGATTATTATTTCATTTATTTGATAGTTTGTCAAGCGGAAATGCTCTCAAGCTAAGATTGGACCAGATATTTCTTTTAGTTTTGAGTGTCCTTATAATTGTATTGAATTAAAATTTAATGCACATCAGGATAAACCAACTACAGGCTGGACAGTTACACCACAAACTAAACCTAGCAGAGTAAGCTTGTATTAGACTAATTCCTATTTTATAAGGTCATATATGTTACAGCTATATCAAGAAGACATTGACAAATTTGGTGATAAACAGCATTCTCGTCCTTCATGTTGTCTCATATCAGTTTATGGATCACCTGATGCTGTCCCTTTTCTTAATTACTCTGTACCACTAGTAGGAGTGGTTAAGCCAGTTACATTAATCATTCATAGGGCACGAAGAAATCCTCCTCCTCCTTCAACAAGTAATAGATGATAATTATCATTTAAATTGCTTATTTAATATTAATCAGAAATTACCAAAAGTATTTTCTAAAATCAAATTAAGATCATTTTTTCTTAAATCTAAGCATGTTTACCATACACAATTTTTTATAGCATTTAGGATTCCAGAGCAAAGTGATCAGTCCACTCAAAAAGGTAAGATTAGAATAAGAAAATATTCTGCCATCACTTGATCTTATTATAGCAGACAAAGGAGGCTTGCACCATCCAGCAACTAGTACTGGAAAAGAAGAGACTGATTCAGAGTAAATACTTTCTTACAGTACAATAAACAATTTACTGTAACATTGTTGTAGTTATAGGGAAACACTTGGTAGCACAGGAGCTGGCCCAGACAGCAGTAAAAGTGATGATGAAAGTATGTTAGAATAATCTTAATAATTCTAATAATAATGATAATGTACACTTCTATAGAGCCTCCAGATGTCAGTGAATTTTTTCCAAAACTTGAAGACTTTGAGAGCGAAGAGAAAATAACAAAAAAATATTCAACCCACCTAACCAAGGAAGAGCAAGAGTTTATAGAAAAAGTCAATGTCATTCTGGTGACTGCCACAACTATAGAGTATCGTGCTGTAATGGGTGCCACTGAACCTACTGGAGGAGATAAAAAATATATCAAAGTTATTACAAAAGATCGATCGACAAATTTTATTTTAGCAAAATATGGTCTGTGTAATGTTGCAGTGATAATGACAGAGCAGGGTCCAGATAATACCCAAAGAGTTCTTACTTCAGTACTAGATGACGTGAAAGCTGAGTTTGTCATTGCTATTGGAATATGTTATGGAGTAAAGGAAGACAAAACTGAGGAACTTGGCGATAAAACAAAACTAGCCAACATTATTGTGGCCAAAAGTATTGTCAACACTGAACATCAGCGTAGTGAAGAAAAAAGAAATGTTTTGCCAGATACATATCACTGCGGAGAGAAACTTTTGAATTTATTCAAACATGACAAAGTCTTTAACTTTAAAGATAAATCAGTTAAAGTTCACGTTGGTGTCTTGGCCTCTGAGTTTACATTGCATCGCAACGAAGAAGAAAAACAGAAAATATTAAAGCAAGTTCCACAAGCACTTGGAGGAGAAATGGAGGCAAATGGTATAAATCGGGTTGCTGTTGCTAAGAAAGATAAATTCCAATGGATAGTGATAAAATCTATTGTTGACTGGGGAAATGAAGACAAAGACAAAACATGGCAACCATTTGGAGCTGTCTCGTGTGCAAGGTTCGTCCTAAAATGCTTGAAAGATCAACCTGATGAGGGAGATCCACTGAAGAAACAATAAAATAAACTAGTTTTATATTGAGTATTTTTTTATTATTAGTCTAGTTTAACTAATTGAGAAGTTTGTTCTAATTGATATTAATATTAGCCATCAATGACATAAAGTGATGCTATGCATATAGATCATGAGTGGGAGCAATTAAGAAACATAATTGAGAAACAAGAGAGAGAAAACTAAGGTTAAAATACTATACTTTAGCACAGTGTAGTTAAGAATGGAATGTTGAGTGAGAGCAGCTGTCATAAGTGGTTTATAAATTTGATTATATGATACTCTCCACCAAACACCTGTTCATTACCACAATCACTACAGTATATAGTGAAGCTGTCATATTAAAGTCACTGTAGCATTATACAAGTACAAAATATTAACATAATATTGACTATTAGACCTACACTGCATGCAACAGTACACCATCCATACCTCCAGTACCATACATGTAAGTATACATCTACTTGCATGTACTTATGGTATGCTCTTGGTATGACCTTATAGTAAAGATAGAGAGGTGGATATAGTATAGTCTAAGGTTGATTATACAAACTATCCACTCCCTCTTTACTGGGAACTGTGTACATATAATGGCAAACAAGTATATCACATTTCCTCCCCTTTCTATCATTATAGCTATGTTACTGTCAGAGCTCATTAACAAGTACTTAGTTCACATACTGATGGCAATCTATCTGTTAT